TGGCATCAGAAATGTTTCTCACTTATGACGTTGTGTACACATGAATGCTGTCGCGGCCTGGACTGCATGGTGCTTTGATCAGTCCTTGGATTAATTATCTTTACCTCTGAAAAAAGTTCATTACAATATAAGAAACCATTATAATATTTCTTAAAGTGAATTATTCATTTACGTTGGTAACATTTACTTTACGAGTAGCATCTCCCAGGATGTATTAATACGTTTTCAGCACTGCATGTACCCCATGAACTTGAATTTGTAAAAACACCACCTCCCCAACAAATTCAAAACTACAGTGTAAAATGTCATTTGCATTTGTTTAAGCGACCTTTACGACATTCCGTTTTAGTAATCCATGCCTACTTAACACCAGAGAACGAGTCTGCACCCATTTTGGTGAGTAATACGAGACCCCACAAGTATAATTTTGATGCTCCTTCACATTTACAGGGCGCATTTCAACAGCGGTTGCAAGCGATACATGTAAACACCGTAGCTAGCGAGCAGCGCGACTGTTCATTGCACGGTCGACAGTCGTGCATACGGCTCACACTCTTTAATTATATTCCTTCCCAGTTTATATATATTCCTTCGCATGGTGCTACCGCAAGCCTTTCCATCTATTGCTGTCTTTCTCACCATGAATAGCCTGAAATTTCATCCAATGCCAGTTTAACGTCCTCTCCCACGGACACCAACGAAACCTTTAATGAGGTCGTGTCGTGTTGCACATCAGGATGATCAAGCAACATATATGTAACCTCAAATTAAATTTGTGAACACAAAAAATACTATACCCAGCAAGAAATGAGACCGAGGGGTACCCCCCAACATGTCCAATCCCTATACACATTCCATACTATTGTTACTTAACACATCCCCCCCCCAAGATGTCTGAAAGGAATTACCCAGATTCCTGCGAGACAATGACCAACACAAAGCGGGGGGGGGGGTTCTCTCCGTCTCATACCTTGCTGCATATGAAAAATACGTACATGTTATATATCCAACTAATCAAGTTATGGGAAGTACACGTAACATGTACTTCCTGCAACATCATTTTTCTATGTGCAGCCACGTAGAGTTTTGTGTGTGTGTACAGCGAATTGCACAACGCTATTTTAATGCATGGACTGGTTGCCGCGTTGCCATCACACCTTTTTGACAGTAGCACGGCGCAGCGGGAACCAGCGGAAACCTTGCATGAAGTAATATTGCGTGCGTGTTTTCGAAACCGTGATAGCGACATGCGAAGGGAACTTGTGAAAACCACAAAACTTTCTTTCCACATGTTGTGAATGTAAAGCAGGTGTTTTTGAAGACAAAATCCTGTCTTTCCTAGGAAACACAGGATTGATTTTTCCTTTTTTGAGCTGTGAGAAGAGATGGATACACGTATGATGGCTCAAATTTGCCGGATGCAGCTGAAAAGTTGATAAGCACATTTTGCTTATGTAGAACCATGGAGGAAGGGCACAAGTCTTTTTTTTCAGCCCTAAAATGTGACATGATTCATAAAATTCCACGAAACTTGGTGTTAGATGTCACAACACCCCCCCCCGACTACATACCAGAAGACAT